TGTAGTCCATCACTCCTAAACTCAGCTCTTGATGCCTGTTAAAATGTGTGAATTTGCAGGTTAATGATCAGAACGCACCTTAACTTGAATTGGCTGCTGTTTCTAATAAACAGCCAAAATCAACGATATTTTCTGCCCTTTTTATACCTTGTAATATGGGTAGATTTCTGGCATTCTGTGTGTGAAATTGCGGTGAGTGTTGGTATTTCCTAAAAAACGCAAGTAACTTCAAAAGTCTGATGGTGACTAAATTTTTGACCGGCAAGTTATTTAACCTGCGACATGTTAGTAAGTTATTCACAGTTATTTAATGGCCTAAATCCCTAAAAAAAACCCCAATTTTAGGTCAAATCCTAAATTTGCCCCGAATTTTTTTTGTTTCAGAAAAGTTCCCAAACTTTGGTCCAGTCCCAAATCTGCCCGAACTTTTTTTGTCTAAAAAAAACCCCAAACTTTAAGTCAAGTCCTCAATCTGCCCCAAATTTTATTTTGTGTAAAAAAATTCTCCAAAATTCAATTTATTTTAAAAAATATATTCCTATGATGTAGTCTCAACTTGACGTGGCACTTCTATGTCGATAACAAATCCACATCAACAAAGTAATAGAACTGTTTTTTTTAGACAAAGAAAACTTTGGGGCAAATTTGGACTAAACCTAAAAATTAAATTTTTTTTTTAAATTAAAAAGAGTTTTTTGGGATGGATTTGTCACCGTCCCTCACTTTCGTATCCTAAAACGATTTTATTTTGGAGAATTTCAACAATTTTTATTGGGTTGGATTTATTATCGAAATAGAAATGCAACATGATATGTACCGAGGGGTGTCAATGGATCGGGTCGGGCTTTCCTGATACCCGACCCGACCCGAAACGTAGAGGGTCGCGCTTGACCCGCCCCGCCCTTACCCAAGACCCTATTCAGCATTTAGCTCAGGAGATGGGTCGGGTAGGGTTGGGTCAGTGCCGGTGCCACAACGCCAAAACATCCTCCCGCTCAATCTGTCCGGCGCCGCCACCCCTTTCTCTCGCTTGAAGGGTCTATGGACGGGGCGGCTCCTCCGCCTCGCGCCGCCGTTTCCAGCAACTCCCAACTTCCGGGAGGGCATGAACTGGACGGTGGTCAGCTGAGTCCCCGCCGCCGGCTCCCCCTCCTCCAACCCCCGGCGCTACCGCGGTGATCGGACCAAGATCTACCTCATCATGGAGCTCGCTGGCCGCTCAAGGTCTCTGACTTCGGCCTCTCGGCACTTCTTGAGCAGCTCCGGGACGGGCTCCTCCACACGGCCTGCGGGACCCCAGTCGACACCGCCCCGGAGGTGGTCTGCCGCGGCGGCCACAATGGCTCCAAGGCCGATGCCTGGTCCTGCGGTGCCATCCTCCTCGTCCTCCTCGCCGGTTTCATGCCGTTTGACAGACCACAACCTCGTCTAGATCTAGGGTTAGAGAGGGAGAAGGAGAGAGAGAGGAGAGAGAGGGAGAAGGAGAGAGAGAGGGAGTGGGCTTTGGTGGTTCTGCAACTTCTGTCTAGATCTAGGGTTTGTACGTACAGAGAGAGAGAGGAGAGAGAAAAGGGAGAGAAAGGGATTTTTACGTGGAGAGAGAGAGAGGGGAGAGAAAAGGGAGAAAAGGGGATTCTGAAGTTTCAATGGATCGGGCTTGACCCTACCCTAATTTTAATAATACCCATATCTAAAAGCCCTATCCTAAAAAAGCTGAGGCCCAACTCTAAAATACCCCAAATTTTAGGGCCGAGCCGGGCCGGCACGGATCAGGCCGGCACGGATCGGGCCGAGCCGGCTCGGGTCTTTTTGACACTCCTACCTATCGTCCTATTGCTTTGTTGATGTGGATTTGTTATCGACATGAAAGTGACACGTCATGTTAGGACTGGATTACGGGGTTATATTTTTCAAAATAAATTGAAATTTGGTGATTTTTTTTACACAAAACAAAATTTGGGGCAGATTTGGTACTGAACTTAAAGTTTGGGATTTTTTCTGAGACAAAAAAAAAGATCATGGCAGATTTGGGACTGAACCCAAAGTTTGGGGTTTTTTTTTAAAACAAAAAAAAAGCTCGGGGCGGATTTGGGACTTGACCTAAAGTTGGGAGTTTTTTAGGGAATTCACCCGTTATTTAACATGTGATATCTTAGTAAGTTACTACTAGTTTTGTGGAAGTGCCAACAATTATTTGATTGTTTTAAACTAGTCTCTTTAAATTATCAATATTAACTTGTGTAGCTTATCAAAGTACTAGAGTTACTGACTTCTATAGAAAATTTACAACTTTCATTTGAGTCCATTTATCAACTTTTAGTTGATTGTTTCAAAGTTATCAAATGTTCAAAGAACATACTAATATTCATTTGCTAAAGTCACCATCGTATTATAATTACTTTGCTCTTACAGCAAATTGCAAATATTAATTTGAATGATTTACTAACTTTTCGCATATTAATAACAAGTTTTAGTTTTATGAACTTTTATTTGATTGAATTACGAATGTCTATTTAATTAATTTGAGATCACTACCCGTTTCAATAATTTACCAACATTTATTTGTGAATGTTATTAACATGTTAAAGTTATCAGCTCTTATAAAAAATTATCAACTCTTTTTTAAGTCCACTTACCAATGTTTATTTGATTATAATTTTGATACGTTGGAAAGCTCCCCAAAGAAATGTGGCCAAATTATGAGAACAGTTGGAACAGTTGGTACTTTTGGAACGATTAAATAAAAGTTGGAAAGTGACTCTAAAAGTTGGTAAGTTAAGCTCTTGAAATAAACGTTGGTAAATTATTGAAATGTAGTTCGCGATTTGAAAAGAGTAGGAAATTTCTTAAAAGAGTTGTAATTTTAATATGTTGGTTAATTGTCCAAATTTTATTTAGTCAATTATTGAAACATTTGGTAATTTTGAAAAATCAACTAAACATTGCTAACTAATTCAAATACGAGTTGATACTTTCTCAACCTTTTTCCCGTTGTTAATTTGTCATATATCTCAGTAAATTATTGGAAAAGTTAGTAATTTTATGGCAATCAAATATATATTGGTATATGACAAAAAAAAAGATAAATATTGGTACCTTTTGAGAAAAAAATAAATATTGGTAACTAACTCAAAATCAGTTGCTACTATGGGGCGGTATCTTTAAATATATGTTGAAACAATCGAATAAACGTCGCAAATGAATGTTGGTATATTGTTGGAGTAGTTGGTAATTTGGTATAAGAGTTAGTTACTTGTAAAAAATAAATATTGGTAAATTATATGACTAGTTAGTAATTTCCAAACCAATCTAATAACGTTGGTAAGTGAACTCAAAAAAGTTTTCAAGCCAATCCAATAATATTTGAACAAAATACCAACGTTGATAATTTCCTAGTAGAGTTATTAACTTGAACAAAGTGGTAAGTTGTGCAAAATAAATCTTGGTAAATTTTTTGAACAGTTAGTAATTTTGAACAATTAAATAAAAGTTGGTAAGTTCGTATAAGAGTTAACAAATTTAACATCTTGGTAATTTTAAATTATAAAAATTATAAAATATTTGAAGGGTTGGTAATTTCACAATCAAGTAAACATTGGTAAAAGATTGAAATAAGAGGGGAAATTGTACAATAACCAATTAGTTCTAAACTTATTGTATGGATGCCAATTCACTCCTAAAATTTATAATTTTACCAATTTAGTCCTAAACCTTTGCACGAAATTCCAATATAATCATTCTGATCAATTTTCGCCGGTAATAACTAACGTGTCAATTGGTAAAATGGAAAAGTTTAGGACTGAGTTGGCATCCATACAATGGGGTTAGAGTTGATTGGATAATTTTCCCCAAATAAGAATAGTTAATTTTTCTTAGTTTCACTGACGCTGATGGACTCAGGCAGAGTATTTTTTTTTTTTCACTTTTTTTTGCTTCAAACAAGCCAAATATTCTAACTAAAATCACTAGGGCAGAAATAAGCACTCATCCAATCAATAAGTCTTCTAGGGAAAAGACGAGTTTGGTAAATTTAATACGTCAATGAGCTACACAAGTAAATGTTGGTAAAGTATTAAATTCGAAGGTAATGTCGGAACCATCAAATAAATGTTGGCAACACACTCAAATATGAGTTAGTAAAGTTAAAAATAGCTGCTAACTTAAACCGTGAAAATTGTTAAATCACCCAAATTAAGGCTGATAATTTCCTATAAGACTTAGTAACTTTCATGCATTAGTAACTTTAACAAATAATTGTTGGTATGCGGTTGAAACAATCAGTAATTTCAAAAACAATTATGTAAACGTTGGCAAATGGACTTAGATAAGAGTTGATAATTTTTCAACAAACATTAGTAACTTTAACGTATAGAAAGTTTTGTAATAGATATTGGTCAATTTTTAAAATAGTTAGTAATTTAAGCAAACAAGTACTCGTTGGTACTTCCATAAAAGTATTGGTAACTTACCAATGCATTATCGACTAACAAGTAACCGGCCAAAAGTTTTGTTGCCAGCAGATTTTGATATCTACCAAAGCTATAAATGTTCCCAATTTTGCCAAGCTGAACATCAGAATCGACCAAAGCCATAGTAACCAAATGTTCTATCTTAACAGTATCGACCTTACAAAAACTTCTAGTGGATCTCATATACTTCGATCTTGATAAATCACACTTTATTGCTTCTTCTGCACCATACCCGACTCTTATCGAAAAGTAGGAGTTTGACTGTAAAATTTCGTACAAAAAGAAATTTCTGTCCTATATCTTGGAACAAGTATAAATGAGGTCCATACTTTGGTCTTCAGTGATTTATCGTTGAACTTTAGATATTGAGGAAAATAACCATTCCTCCTCAATGTAGGGTGGTCGTGATTCCCTCGAAAACCTGATGAAAATTGGGCACAAGAAGGGGGAGTAACCCTCAGTGAGACTGAGCCAGTTGCATGCCATGTCATCGGACTAAAGATGGAATGGAACCTCAGGAACACAACTAAAGAAACAGAGTAATGGGAGAACATTTCATTCACAGCTGCTATATTGAAACTTACAGTGCAACATTGACCCTAAAAAGGAAAAATTTGTCGGAGGCAGGAAATGCCCAAAGTCATGTACAAGAAAGCAAGCAAAAGAATGCTTGGCCTTTCAATGAATTAAACGGAAAGAAAAGATAAAAAACGATCGCCGTTGCCCGTATAATTCTGTACCTCATCCTTGCTGCCCGCCCTAAGCCAGGTCCCACCAACTCCGAAGAACAAAATGAAGGAGGGACATTGAGAATATTAAGGATACACCAAAAACCTGCAAATAGCAGGACTAAGCCTGAAGCTATAATGAATAGAATTCTATGGTAGCCTCCAATTGCAAACTAAGACCAACTAATCTTCTTTCCATTTGTTAACATATCGAAGGAAGGCATCCGCAGGATTATCTCCAGGAGGTGCCCGCACACGTGTTGATCTCCGAAGCACTGCCTCCTCCAGTGCAATCTTGTCCGCTGAAAGCTTCGATCTTTTTTGTAGCCCCATGCTGGTAAATCAAATAAATGCAGAATAGTTAAGCTGATTAGGCCTAGGCCGTCCTATAAAGAGTCCCTATGTGCAAGAAACCTGTCTGCATGCAACGTATAAATTAAATTTCCTATAGTGAACTTGATATTGACTCGACACTTATTTCCAATTTACCACGTTGAAAAAGAATTTCCTTCTAATTGTCTTTCCAACAGGGAAGTACAGATAAGGATAATAACAATGACATTTTGAACTCTGTATCCATTTTGAAACATACCAACCAGGTAAGTTAATGCTGGCACAGAAGGCGCACATGCATTTCAATATACTATGGTGATACCTCAAAAACTGTGAAATGGTATTAGCCAGTCAAATCTTGATAAAAAGAGAATCAGAGAATTCCAAAAAATGAAGACAAGTCATGCCCATCAGTTGTCACATCTACACAAATCAAGCATAACAAAAACAGTGCAAATTTGCTGAAAGCAATCAAGGGATGTACCACCTTAAGGGTTCCCAGAATCATTCATTCCTTAAAAAAGAAAACAATTCAACAAGTTACCAGATTTTGCCATAAAATTTGTCTAGCTGTGTTTGAAGAGCCCTTTCCCTCTCACCCTTGCGATTCAGTGAACCCATCAATGCATCAAGCTGCTCAAGAAGTCAACTGGGATCACAACCATGCCTAATTATAATTATTATAAGAATCATGATGACTCAAATACCTCTTCCTTGGTACCATAGTAGCCCCACATTTTGTGGTCCAAGTTCTCGACAAATATCCTCCCATCGCGCCGAAACCACCAGTATCTATTATGATGCCTATCCTTCCCCAAAGGATCTGTGCGTATAAATATTTTCTCCATTTCAGTCTCATAATGTTGTTTCTGCAGGTGTCAAAAGGATCCTTTTATTGACTCTTATTATGAAACAACAGTATGCAACCGATGAACAGATACAGAGAGAGTAGTAGGATAGATCAAACCCTTTGTTCTTTGCTGCTCTTTTCCATTTCTTCCCTTTCAACAGTTTCCGCATGTTTTAGTGCAATCTTCTCTGCTTCCTTCTTAGATATATGTTGTACATCTTCAAGCTTGTGTCCATCTTTCCCCTTATGCTTCTTGGTTCTCTTTCTGAAAGCACTATCAGTTTGGCTACCCTCTCTAATGGAAAGAATACAATAAAGACCGCATATAATTTGGAAAAAATAAGATCTAAGCTTCTAGTGTCCTTAATCAAACCTTTTCTTTGAGACATGGTCTGTTTTCTCCGGTTCTGCTTCACCATTCTGCTCATTGTGAGTACTATTCACCAGCACACCTAGGTTGTTTCCTGAGCTGTTCAAGCCATTGCCATTTATGAATCCATTTACCTCGGACTCAGCTTTCAACCGTTCCTTTTCTTCTCTCCTTCTCTTGGCTTCTTCCAATGCTTCTCCCCTTCTTGTGGCTCCAAGTTTCTGCCACTGTTCAATATACTCATCAAGTTGCTCTCTGACCAGATCAGTCGCAAGGGCACAATTCAGTAATTCCCCTAAGATTTCCAATTTAGCATGCGTAGCTAAAAGGCCATAATGTCCTCGCTTAATCGTAGCCATATAAGGGCGAAATGTGGGACTGTTAGTCCTGTCTAAGAAAGCACACAAGTACTCTGTCCAAGTGATTAATGTTATCTGCAGTAGAAAAGCACAAGGACATCTGTATCAATTAACAGCTAATATTGAAGCAACAGAAAAATTCCATACAACCAAATGAAAATTTTTTCTGGTTAAAATAAGGAGATGTGATAAACAGAACTGACCTTAGACTTGCCCTTTCTTTTTTCTATCGTTAAAGCATATTCACCATTGTCTTTTATAAGCAACCGAAGAAGAGCTGAATGACACTCGACGATAAGAATCAAATTGCTTTCTTTATGACAGACAGCATTTTCAAAATCTTCAAGAGAAAATGGTGACAAATGCAACAGCCTGCTAAAAGATGAACAGAAGTCCCAAATCATCAGAAGTTCCCCGACACAGTCCACTGGAACTTTAAAGTCTCTTGATGGAGAAGGTCTCTCAGTAAATACTGGATCGTCCGGGCAAGGCTGTACTAAGAGGTCTTCAATGGGATACTTAATGGCTTCTAACCTCTTTAGGTCGTCTTCTGCAAACTCAGATAAAACATTGAGGGAAATATGTCATTAAATGATCAGGAAAAAGGCAAATCGTCAGGACTTAAATCTACCTTTCTCACTTCTCTCCTCCATCTGTGAAGCTCCAACTTTCTCCCTCTCTGTTCTCTGCTTTCCTTTGTTCTTTCCAGATTCATCTTCCCCATCCTGAATGTAAGAGCTGTGAATATATGGAGAACATTACTGAATCTAGACAAAGAAAGACCAGATCAAACTAGATAATTACCATTTCTTCTTCCCCATTTTTTCTATTCTTCTTGTAGCTGATGAGAGTGCCATTCTGAAAATAAAACTTGCTCTTCAACTCGTCTGGAAGATGGGTCGAGACCCCATGCTTTTCGGCAAGTCTAGGATGGAGCACCCAAGGTGCATTACGGTATGTTGATTCTCGAATGAAGGACTTCACCATGTTTCTACTAAATGGGAGCTTTCTATTAGTTAGATCCTCATCATCTATTAAGTCATATCCCACTACTTCCTTATCTTTGTCCAACCAAGCAATCTTGTATTGTTTTTTGCCAGCAGAATCATGCAATGTCTTTATTATTCTGCATAGAAACACATTATTTTCTTTTCGTCCATATAATTCCAGTCCAGCAAACAAACACTCTTGCAACTTCAGAGCAATCTTGTCTGCAAGATCTCTCAGTGGAAGCATGCCTGCCAATGTAAATGTAAAAATGCAAGTTGGAGATTTACGCCTGATCCAAAGGTTGTAACAAGTAGCCAGATAAAAATAAAAAAATATAGTAACCTCATCAAGAGCACCTATATAAATCAATTCCTAGTGTGTAGTACTAAAGACACACAAGGCAACTCTTTTCAATTGTCTATATCCAAGTGAACATGCCAAGATGGTACAATACAGCTGACCCACAATGCAACAACATTATGTCTACAGGGAAGTCATGGAAAAATTTCGATGAATCAAACATTAACATTTCAATGCCCACCTCTCTAATTTCACAAATCTCAATGTTCTCAGCATATGACGGTTTGCAATTCAGTCATACTGCAGCTTCTTTATCAAGTTAATATCAGTAATCAGAAAACAATGACCATGGAGTGCTGCAATTTGCCCTATGTAAACACTTATCCCATCATATGAAGGGCTAAAAAGTAAGTATAGCCCTATGTCATCTTGAATTAGCTTCAAATGAGACCTGGAATTTGTATAAGATAAAAAGCAGAACAGGCCGAAACAAATGTCAACTTTGCAATGTCATCTGACTAATAATGTTATACTTTGATCCAGGGATGGGCACAAAACATGGTACATTCTTTTTGTTGAGCCCTGCCTTATTCTCTTGTTTGCTAGTGCATTCTCACTTGACTTTTAACCATTGACTAGCAGTTTCATTGTTTAATCATTGTTTGAGTTCCTTCATTATCAATGATCTTTTGGATTTCTTCAGGTACATGATGCTGCGTCATAGCAACAACCAATAAAAAAGTAATCTTTAATGGGACCACTACCCATTGTTATGACATTTTAAGCTATTAAACAAATGCATGTTTTGAATTGCATAGGTTGAAATATCACTTACAACCACCTATTCTGATACCATGTAAAGCTTTATTTATGGGACCACCACCCAACCGTTTCTATAAGCTTAAGATATTAGATGAAGGTATGGAATGACTGTGACAAAAGTAATGAACTATAGCAATGTCATAGCACCAAGCATCCTTTAGGAGGCATATTTTCTCACAAGAATTGTAACCACTAAGCAACGGAATATAAAATTCGCGAAACTGTTGGGGATAATATCTTGCATTTTCTGTTGAATACAGAGATCTCCTTCATTGGTTGAACTTTTCTTACTAGAAAGAAATTTATTTGAGCTTTACCTGGAATGAGAAGATCAATACATTATGAATGACCTATAAAGGCATAATTAATAGGTTTTACATTTGAGTTCTACTTTGACTTTTTGCTAATTGGGCCATGATAACAATCTATCGATGATCTAGATTTATTCTCCAAAGAGTAGAACAATGGAGCATTAAATGTTATATTGTCAATATCAATGCCAGGTTATATATATATCTATTCCTAAATAAATTTATAATGGAACTCCAGCACATGTTACATGAAAAGGTCCCCAAACAAAAGGAGTTCGCAAAAATGATAACCAAAGAAACTTTCAAATATTATGCCAAATTGAACCTAGTATAATAAAAAGACACTAGTGCATTAGAGATCAATCAATCTCATTGAGAATCAATCTTGTAGATGAGGGCTATAGAAGCAATGTACTGAACTAACTGTGAACAGTAAACCTTCAAGATGGCAATAAATTCTCATAGTGCAGGGGAATAGAAATGGATTAAAAAGCAGGGCATTTCCCACATCCATGGTATGCTTCTGTTTGTCAATCATTTTCCTCTAAATCTCAAGCCATCAAGCATGAAGCTCCCAACTATTCAATTCGAGTTAAGATAACCACACCAACTTTTATTACAAGTGGAGTTATGTTTAGCTTCTAATGCCTAACATGGAAAGAACGGTATATGCAAGAGAATAAGGGAAGTGGTGACAAATTGACAAAAGCAGAAACTAGATTTCTCAATGCCTACTTGACCTGATGTTGCACATTCTATTTTTTCCTGCTACCACTACCACTTTCCTGCTTTTCTGTTTGCCTCATCTCATTGTGCCTTCCATGTGACAATCTCTATCTCCCCCTCTTCCCATCCTCACAAAAAAACAAAACAAGGTTCTATTCTTTCACACCAAAGGCTAGACAAACATTGAGATCTATCATAAGCTAAGAGTAAGGACCAAACTTTTTTAACGATGCTAGAAAGAAGAAAAAGAAGCCAACTTTTAGAATAATTTGCAGCACATGCCCATTCAAAATTCCTAATCCAGATCCATAAAAAAAAAACACCCAAAGTTTGTACAAACTTTTAAAATAATTTGCATCATATGCCCATTCGAAATTCCAAATCCAGATCCATAAAAAAATCACCCCATAGCTTGTACACCCTTCCCCTCCAGCCAGCAACACCCATCCATCCAATTTAAACGTTCAGCAAGATAGAAGAAACAAGAAAAGTCTGTCCAATTAGAAGATTAAAAGCTATTCTAATGTTTCGCCTTTATGTATTGACAAGATAGCATCTTAGAGTTAAAAACCAAAAAGCAATACATCGATATAACAGCAACATATCAATAAGTTACAACTCCAAAATATTGTCCAAGGAGCACATACACAGCTCAACTCTACCATCATCCTTGTTACCCAGGCAACCTTGTATTTGAAACAAGAAGTTTACAAGGTCTCCAACATAAATAGTAGGATGCCAGTCTAAACTGGAAGACAGTTAGCCTAAAAACCGGATGCTGATCTAATACTTACTGTATTGAATGATCCTCAGCATAAGCGCTGTTAGCTCTTGCGGGAACTGTTGAACCTTCTCAATTGCACGTTTCTCGGACACCAGAGCCTCTTCGTAGGTCAAGTTAGATTTTCCGCTGACTTTACAGGTCCATAGTCTTTGGCGATACAAATTGATGCGGTTCAGATACTCTCTTACTCAGGTTAAGGATAGAAGAGAAGACATTTTAATAACCTGATTCATGGAATTTATAGACAATTCTCCCTAACTGCATGAAAATCGAAGAACAGGCACACAAACAGGTTCCTTTCATTGGCCATTTCAGAAACTAAAATCTCTGCCATAAAATATTAAGAAAACTATGACTCCTAACAATTCCCCAAGATGGATACTGATAATCACGAAATATCTCCTTTGTAAAACGGATTTGGAATACAAGCTCCTTAGGATCCAAATCATTTGGCACTTCTACAAGGGAAAAAGGCTTTCTCTTGTAGAGGGGCATTCTTGAATTCCAGTCCCCCAGTATAATGACAAACAGCAGAAACGGCAATGATTAAGAAAGCAAATCGAATTCTGCAACAAATAAAACATAAGAAAATTTAGCGAAGGCGAGTTTAAACCAACAAGCAGTAATAATTACAATGATTAGCAAAAGCTAGGGGACGGAAATGCACAACAATCAACCCAATGCATTCACTTCAATTGCAAGCACGAACAGGGCACTTCCACAGGATGGCGAAATGACGAAGTTATTCGGCGAAAGAAAACTCATGGAGTTCCATATGACCCAAAAGAAAGATCTGCTCGGCCATCATTAAGTAAAGAAAAAGAAAAATCTCTAATGCAATGAGCGAGCAACAATCTCGTACCCACGTTCTTTGACCAGTCTAAATCAGAACACACACGTTACACAAAGCCGCCTACACATTTCGCAATCAGACTTTAAACCCGGGAGAAAAGATGCGGGCGAAAACGCGGGTTTGGTTTCGAGGAACGCCGCTCGGAGAGCATTCTTTTCGCAATGTTCAGTTCGATGATCGTCCGACAGAAGTAATGGCGAAAGAATGACAAAGCTGTTCGCAATGGGCGCAATCAAGAAAAAGACCCAGCAAGGACAAGAAGCGGTGGACGACAACGGAAACCCTAGGCGGTCCCCCTTTTCAGGGGAGGAATCCGAAAGCGAGAGATTGGACCCAAACGCCACGTGATTCATGGCGACACGTAACCGACGAGCGGCACGGGATCAGAGAATCGAGCACCAGAACGGCCGGCGACCCATCGAACCAGACGAAGAGATTGAGAGAAGAGGACGAAGAGGCGCGGGGGGCGCGGGTGGAGCGGAGCGAAAATGGGTGGGGGGCGGTCCAAGAACGTGGCGTTCCCGCCAGAACGAGAGTCCAAAAAGGCGAGGAGGTGCGGCCGGGGGGACGCGGAGGCGAGGGAGGGATAGGGGGATGGAGAGACGATACCTTTGTTGGGGGGGCCGAGCTGAATGCCGCGTGGTGGGTTGAAATCTGAGGAGGGGGTGCGGAAGCGAAAGAGAGGAGAAGGGAGTGAGAGAGGTAGAGGTGGGAGAGGAGAGCGGTGGAGTTATGTTTCGAAAGAGAAGGAGAGAGAGAGAGAGAGAGAGAGAGAACCTTCTCTCTCTTCGCTCGCTCGCTCGCTCTTCGCGTCCCCCTGCTTGCGGGAGGCACGCATTATATATTATTTACGAATCGAGGCTGGCTTTTGTGAAGTAACGATCTCTCCATAGTCCCGCTTGGGCCTTCCGAGAACTTCATCTGGGCTCTCTGCTCTTGAACCGTAGCCTCCCCTCCCTTGCTTGGGCCTGCAAAAAGCAGCAGCAGCAGCAGCAGCGGCAGCAGCCGCCCTTTTTTGTTTTTTAGTGGTAGGAGTATGTTCTGGCTGAAATTGAGGCGTGTCTCTTCGTGCCATACATTTGTACATGAACTCTTTAGACCAAATGACTGATGGTCGATACCCTTTCGACGAGGTCAATGTCGTGTCCTTCGAGGCGCTACGGTGATGTTACTGTCCAGCAAAATTTCTCTTAATTTGGGAGGGGAAGACCCTTCTTGGTTGTATTGGAACGGCAATGCTTTAGTGCTTCATGGGGGATCCGTCTGCACCACATGCGATGTTGCTTCGTTTGGGGAGTAAGCAAGGCTTGCCTGATGATAGGGGCATAGCATATGGTGTAGGGTAAGTAGACAGGAGACTGCCAATTTCTTAGCCATCTGGAGACTGAAGAAGTGGGAAAAATATGCGAAGCGCATCCGTCCATGGCATCGCAGCAGCTGTGGGGAGAGAGATTGAGAGGTATAAACAAGGGTTAATATCACGAAAAATTCCAAACTGGTACATCTGTGATAAATTTACTCAAAATTATTTTTTTTACCACAAAAAATCCCAAACTGGTACACCTTTAACAATTTTACCCCGAACTATTTTTTTGACCACAAAAAACCCCGCATTGGTACACTTGTGACAATTTTACTCCCGAACTAATTTTTTGACTACCAAAAACCCTAAACTGGTATACCTGTGACAAATTTATCCTTCGTTAATTTCCGTTAAATTTTACTGTCAAATTACTAAAATTAATGACACGTGGTAATTGACAGGTGTACCGATTTTGGGTTTTACCCATCTGTTTGTCACAAGTTTATCAATTTGTGATTTTTCGTGATATTAATCCAATTTAACGGACACTAATGGAGGGTAAATTTGTCACAAATGTACAAGTTTTGGATTTTTAGTGGTCAAAAAATTAGTTCGGAGGTAAAATTGTCACAGGTGTACCAGTGTGAGGTTTTTGTTGATCAAAAAAATATTTCGGAATAAAATTATTATAAGTGTACCAGTTTGGAGTTTTTAGTGGTCAAAATAATAATTAAGGGTAAATTTATCACAGGTGTACCAGTTTGTGGGTTTTTATGGTAAAAAAAATAGTTCGGAGTAAAATTGTCACAGATATACTAGTTTAGAGTTTTTTGTGGTATTAACCCTATAAACAAAGAAGCGATAACCTTAAGTGCTGGGTAGCTGGGTCGTGTCATAACGGTGGAATAGTTGCAAGAGACACCCCAACCATTCGCTTGAATGTGGCAATGCGTGACCGGGCCTGTTCTGCCCACATGACGCCGAGGATACCAAACCATTCGCGCCAAGAAGATTGATGAAGTCGAAAACATCTTGTTGGTTCAATTTTTTTGGAGGGTGGTTTGTTCGATTCGAGTTCGAGAGCGGGAAAGAAACAGAGGGCGGTGGGGTTCGCGATTCCATTTTGCATGCTCTTTCCAAGAAACGTGAAACAGGCAAAGCAAGACAAGCACCCAAGCTTTGACTTCCTCGTTCCACCCAGTCTTCTTCTCCTCTGTTCCCATCCAGTCTGACCCACTTCCACCTAACCTCTCTCCCTCCTTTTCCTTCCAAGCTTCCTTCCAAGCTTCATATGAGATCATCAATTGGTTTGGGTTTTGAATTTGGTTATTTTCTTTTAGAGAGGAAAAGGACGACTTGTATAAATGGCCGGAGAGCAGCATCCAATCGAAGACCGTCAAACGCTTTGACCCTTCTTTCATCTCATCCGCCCTCCACCCACTTGCTGATTCTCATCCGATCATCTTCCAAGATTTCTATTCTAATAAATAACAAGGACATCACCCCACCTCAGTTAGCTAGATTTCATTTTCTTTAACGCAACAAAGAAAAGAAGAAAGAAGAGGCAGAGCAAGAGGAAGAAAGAATGGAGGGTTCTACTGCTTACCGCGTTTGAGCGATTGATTTGGATGTGCTGACTTTGATCCATTTGAGAGGCAGAGGCTGCGGGTGGAGGACTCGTTCTTCTCTGCGACTTTTTGAAGCTTTCTTTTCTTGCTTTCACACGCGACCAACTAACGAAGGCAGGCCAAAGAACAGAGGCAGACGTACAGACAGACAGAGATACGCAGAAGAGAGAAGCATCCCACCGATCGACAGAGGCGATGGGGAGCAAGGCGCTGGATGGGGCGAGGGAGGCCGCACGCGCCGCCGTGGAGGCCATGGGGCTGGGGTACGACTTGACCGTCGACCTCAGGCTCAGGTACTGCAAGAAGTCGAGGCTGGTCAGCATCAGCGACGATCCCGCCCTCCGCCACACCATCTCCATCCCCGGGGTCGGCATCTCCATCCCCAACGTCCCCACCTCCGTCCACTGCGACAAGGGCGAGCGCATGCGCTTCAGCTCCGACGTCCTCTCTTTCCAGCAGGTAATTACTCTGTGTGGTCATGTGCTATCTTTACTAAACTTTACAAAGTCATCGTCATCGTGATCATCCGAGAAACACCTTCGTCCTTTTGCAGATGTCGGAGCAGTTCAACCAGGCGCTGTCGCTGTCCGGGAAGATACCGACCGGCCATTTCAACGCGGCCTTCGACTTCAGGCAGGGATGGCAGATAGATGCGGCCAACACCAAGACGCTGGCCTTCGATGGGGTGTTCATCACCCTCTACAACATCCAGTTGCGCAAGTCTCAGCTCCTCCTCTCTGATCACGTCAAACAGGCCGTCCCCTCTACCTGGGATCCTGCTGCTCTATCCCGGTACCCATTCCTTTATTAGCCTCACCTTACATGCTTCTTGAATTATTATAGCGTCAGATGTCTCTAAACGGGAGCTTGACATGTTCCTTTGGATCTGTGACTCGCTTAGCTTGTCAAGTATCTCCAGTTATTTGATTCTTTCCCTCAGCGTCTTCCTTCCCCATTAGTACATGTGCATGTGCATCTTGTTATTAGGAGGTATCTGGACAATATGCAAGTAATATCAATTTCATTGGTACCACAAAGAATCAGGATAAGAAAGGTGGAACTTCTGCACATTTTGATAAACTTTGCAGACGATGTTGTGACTTCCTGAATAGCACACTCCCCATACTCAAAACTCAAATTTGTACCCCTTCCATCTCTCCGCACCTCATCGTGTGATGAAGAGTGGTATTCTAAAAAGAGTCTTGACTAGAAGAAATGGGTGGATTTTCGAGTACCAATTTTAACAAACTGAGACCTAGCAACTCTTGCATAGTTACCACAAAAACCCAAGTTGATAGCGAGATTTGCTTCATCAATTGCATCTATAATTACCATAAAGTGCATTTGATAAGTCTTTCCGTCGTTAGATCCAACTGCAAGTGGCTGTTGACATAATCACGCAGGAGGTAAACTTAGGCAATGCTCCCATCCTCCAATTCCCTTGCTGAGTAACTATTGAATGAGAATCCCAGAAGAGGTGGATAATCCCATCTTACATGAAGATTTTTGGCCAATAAAGCTAATTTGCTATTTCTACATCCGCACAAGAGGATACTCTTCTTCTACAACTTTCACTTAGTCCAAAAGCAAAGGGCATAATAAAGGAAATATTGTTGTAATATATATACACATCAGCCAAAATAATCTTGTCACAATTGGTAAGAAAAATAAGTGATTTTGGTTTGTCAGATCAAAGCAAACTGAATTCATCTCTTCACTTTCTTTGTGTTTTCTTCGTTCTGTTTTGCCCCAAACTGATGGTAAATTTAATAAAACTTTGAATTGAAGGCATTCATTTGGTTTGGTATTCCAAAAACTCCTCTTTCCAGGACAGGGAGTTCCTCAAGAAGTTAGCTTACAGCTTAATCTGCCATCTAGTCTAGTTGTTCCAATAATTCAGCTTTCAGGCCATCTTCTCTGCTAGAAGGAAGAGAGCTGGGAATATCAATCCATTTGAACATTTGAGCTTTAGACACTTATGGAAGTACTTCCCATGTAATCCCTATGCTAAACCCCCAAAGAGCACTTACAGTTGTTAATGGAAACTTTTATAGTCATTTGTATCGAGAAACGCTCGATTAGACAAAGAAATGTAGTAATATTCTGTGACTTATTTGAATTGTAGAGGCTATGATATTTTAGATACGGCAAATATTTCACAGTAGGAATATGGGATTTCTACCTTCAAAATTGCTGGTTTGGTTGACTGGTAAAGAAGGCAATGCAAACATCAAGAGATAATTGATAAAGGTGAGTTGACTCATTTGCATTGAGCTTTCTGTGCTCTTTCTGCAACTTTACGTAGCTTAGGAGAATTGTTCTGGAGAAAAGCTTGTCATTCTGGGTAAGTAACATGCCACTTGCTCTTGTGACGTTGCAAAACTGGAAGGTTATTGGTTGTTTACTTTTCCTGATATCATCTAATGCATGATGCATATAATTGAAACTATCGGAGATTATACATAACGTTTAGGGTATTGCTTCTCATAGATGGTTAATTGTCAGGTTTATTCAAAAGTATGGTACCCATGTTATTGTCGGTGTAAAAATGGGTGGGAAGGATGTGATTTATGCCAAGCAGCAGCATGCATCCCTTCTTCAACCTGCAGACGTGCAGAAAAAGTTGAAGGAAATGGCAGACAAACTTTTTATTGATGGAGCTATGCAGTACAGGGAAAAGGTATGATAATTAATCCAATATGTTTTTTCGCTGATATGCATGATTATACTAGACCAAAAAAATTGAGAGAGAGAGAGAGAGAGAGAGAGAGAGAGAGAGAGAGAGAGAGAGAGAGAGAGAGAGAGAGAGAGGTTTC